TTATAACCAAAAGACCTCAGGATAAGAAAGGATAAATGTAAGCAGCTCTGCTAGTCTGACCCAGTCAAATGTATTTTTCACTAAACAGCATACAAAGCATAATCAATACTTTTGGCCCAAATCAACAAAATATTTAAGAATGTACTTCAATCATTTTCTTGATTACAGCTATTTTCTTAAATCTAGCTTAATGCTGTCAGGTTTGCTAGCAGTTTTTGAAACTGTTACTTCATTTTCTTTGAATATACTGCTGTACTTCAGTTTTCAATGCAATTTGGATCATGAGAAATGTCCTCTATTTTAATAGCCATGATCTGAATCATTATCAATTAACCAGTTAAGCCACAAAATGCTGACTACTTTATTTCCCCCATCATTGTAATTTCCATCTTAGAGGAGGAATTCAGTTAAACACGAGAGAGATTTCTGTAATACAAGATTATAGACTACTACAAGAACAACCACCGGTTTACAGTTTTTAATGCCTCGATAATTTTCAAAACTGCATGTCTCCATTTGCAAAACTAGAAAGTACCATATATATAGAGAGAGAGATCAACTAAGTAACAATTAAAAAAAACAACAAAAAAAAACTGTCACTGTCCACAGGAACCATGTCTAGTCACGTTTTCAGTCAGTCAGTCAGCTAGCTGAGGGTCATGTCATTATTTAGTTTCTGTAGAAAAAACAGAAGTACAAAAATAGTATCAAAAAGCAACATACCTATTTTAAAATTTATATATTATAAAACAATTGTTACAACAGCATATAGATAAGGATTTTAATGTATTTAGAAGAATGATATTAAAATTTTACATATGCTTCTCTAGCATTTAAAGAAGTACCTCTTTTTCTGAGCAGTGTGTGAAAGCCAGCAATTTTTCTGCAGTATACTGTTGATACAAAATATAGTTAACTTTTTTTTAGTTCTGGAGTATATTTCAACTATGATACAATTACTTTTTAAAAAACAGTTTTGCACAGAAATAAATTGTTATAACTATACATGTTAAACTTCAGGATTTTAATAAAGTTTTAACTCAAAAAAATGAATGCAAATCAAATCGGTGATGCAGGACTTTTTCGCAACAAGGATAATAAATGACAACAATAACCAAGTATTTCATGACAGAATAAGTGTTTTTGAACTTAGTAACTAGCTAAATAATTATTTAAAAACACCACCAAACATTTTCAGAAGGGGAAAAATGCAATTAATCAGTTTGCTGTGGGTTAAAGCCAACCAGCAATGATTATTAAGAGCCACAGAATCCATACCTAGCTACCTGTGTTTTGCATTTCTAATATGGTGCTAGTTAGCGGATCTGCTTTCTAAGGACTACCTGACAGCTCCGTGGAAAAATGTTTGGGGTGGATTTGGGGGTTTTGTTTGTTTGTTTGTGGGATGGTGGTATTTAAATAGAACTACTAGGTTGCAATGAAGAGATTAACTGGAGTTCCACAATACATTCTTCTGAAAGATACCAAATTCTTTCCTTCCTCTTCTAATTTTGAGTGATACAATTTACACAACAGGCATCAGACAATTGCAGTGAAGTTCTCATGAAATACTCAAAGCAATGCAAAAAACTGAGTGGAGAGCATAAGCTGGTCAACACCAAGAACATTAAGATAGCTTCTGCTTTTAGCAACTGCCTACAAGTAGAGACTGTAGTTGTCTTCTCAAGCCTACACTGACTCAAAGCAGGATGGTTTAAAGTGATTATGTCAACCATTAATACTTACTTAGCTTAAGAGGGGAGAACCTCACCCCCCCCCAAAAAAAAAACCAAAAAACTTACATTAGAACTTAAAGTAGTTAAGAGAACCTTATTGATCTGTATTTCCATCATTTCTCTGCTACTTCTAACTACTCATATAAACAATTGAATTTTCATTGACTTGTAGGAGAGCCAGAGCCTGCAAAATTTATTAGATGGATTAGTTTAGAAAATTAATACACATGTATTCAAATGCTCCTGATAAACAAACGTCGTTGTAATATTTCAATTGATAGTAGATTGTGCTTATGATCAGTTTACATCGCAAGAACATTATCAGTAGCATACCATTACCATAAAACATTTTTAAGAAACAATTTTGTAAATTATATTTAAAAAGATGATTTATATAAGAAAAATATTATCGGGGGAAAAAACTTCAGAAAGTCAGATAAAAACTACATTGAAATAATAAACAATTTACTTAAATTGAATTAGTCAATTGAATTAAATTTATTTTCATATAGATTCTACTGAATTCACAGATCTTATCATGGATTTTAATCAGAACACCTTGTATAGAAAGTACTATTGCAGAAATCCAGTCACCTTGTTAGAGACAAAAGGCAAGCAATACAACAGGACTTTAGAAAGGATTTTATTTAAGAGGCAATGACTTCCTTAAGTGAAAACTCACAGAAGTTTTAGCTAAGAAGATTATTTCTTCCAGCTAAAATTCAAAAAGAACAAAAAAGTTAATATTCTCACATCTTCAAAGAAAAAAAAAAGTACTATTTCAGAGGTAGAGAGAACTTCATCCCCTTTCACATGCACAATTTAAAGTTTTAATTGAAAGCAAAATATAAGCCTCTAAACTACAGCAAAACTTGTTTGTCAGTCAGTCCAATGCAGAGCCACACAGTGGTAAGCTTGACTTAAATGGGCAAGCCCTTTTGAAAAGGAGCACAGATGGAATCTTTCTTTTTATGTACCATTTCGTTCCTATTTGAGAAACTGGCTAAAGGACAAACAGAGAGCAAGTAATTTTGTCTGTCCATCCTAAGAAGAGACAGATGCTAAGACAACCTGCTAAGAGACTCAGAATCAGGAACCTGATGTTCAGGATGGAACAAGATGTAACACAGTAAATTTAGAAAGCTCTTCTACCTGTGTTATTGCACGGACGCAGCAGATGAAAGGCTAACCAAAGGGGAAATACTCAGCAGTCATCTGCACCAGAATTACAGGTAATCTGTCCGAGACAGATTTAGCGTGTCCATCTTTGAACGGACTAAAACTAGTACTCTTATTATTTGAAAATTTACAGAAATGCAAAAACCTAGGAAAGTACAAAAAGCTCTGCTGCAAGTTTGCATGTGTACAGAGTATTCTTCAAATATGACTTTAGTTCTCCAGTTTTCTAATCAGGTAAAATGGCACAACAGCAAATGTGTATGTCTTATCCTCACCTTATAATGTTATGAGTTCAGGTTTCTAAATAGTCAATAATAGGTATATATTAGAATTTTCAAACAGAATTTATAATATAAAGTAAGTTTTAGGCTTTTGAAAATCCCATTTGGTGACCAACTGCACCTTTTTTCAGCTGGAGACCCTAAATAACCTTCTCAAAAAAATCACACTGGAAAAATGTGTGCTTATGTATGCGTGCACACATGTGTGTGTGAATAAAAAAAAAAAATCAGTTTTAGATTGACAATCAGAAGAGAACCTCCCAGTCTTCTTACTCTTATCTTTCTTAAAAACAAGGAAAGAAAAAGTAAGGGTAAATCATCTTTCTAATTTTGGATGTATATCACAGCTCCACTTTTCTAGTAAAAAGTAGTCAAGGTATTACATTACACTTTACATCATAGTTTTTCATGTAGTGACCAAAAGGCTGGCCTTTTGTTATTGGAAGTAAAAGTCACATTGAAAACAAACAAAACCTTTGTACAAAGATAAGGGCACGGGTACAAGTTACTTAAAATTCCATTCACCAGAGCTGCTGATTAAAAAAAAGTTTCAAATGACTTTTAGCTACAATTCCATGCAGGAAAAGAATGCTAGAAATCAATTTTTTTAAAAAACAAGTTGTGTATAAAGACTAAGGCCACCTTTAGTAACTGCTGCTTATCAAAAGAACAACATGAAAGTCCTTCGGAAAAAAGGAGGAAAAGAACACTGTGGGCAAAATCTTTTTTGGTCTTTGCAACTCCCAGGTCACAAAGAGTATCTACGTAAAGAAAGGTACAAGGAGTGAAGCTTAGAAGTAAAATATTGAGGCGAGGAGAGTCAGGATTTCATGTGATGTTTTCTGAATGAGTTAAAGCAAAACTGCATGTCCCCTATGAAGATAATACAGCTACTGGAATTATTTGGAAGCTACAGTAATGTTTGTGAGTTATTTTGTAGAAAACAGGGCTTAGCCTTTCCTTCCCCAACTATATTTCTCTTTTGGTAATAGTCCTAATGTTAAAAAAACAAAAAATTTTTTTAAAAATTCTATAATTTGAATCAAACCAATATTCTAAAAGAACAAGTGAATTTTGGTCCCTGAAGTCTATAAAACCTCCCAAGGAGCTCAGCCAGCCTTCATAGGCCATAAGCATCAACTAATACATTCTCAAACGAATTATCTTAAACATACACCTCAACCCCACCACAACAGGCTCTGCAATATTTTCTTCACTATCACACATTCCAGCTACACCTGATTTCTGAGAATCCAGATGACCCAAATATCGCAAACCTTCGGTTTCACCTGCAAACCTTCCCTGTCCTTCCCATGTCCTTTTTTATTTACCCCTTCCCTCCTCTGTCCTTCAAGGACTAAACTGCATCTTTACCCAACACCATTGTGAGGGCATGTGTTTTTAATGAAAGAAAGACACACACGAGCTGATCTCAGTTCCACTGTTTATTTTTGCATACTCTTTTCAATGTTAACTGTTACTCTTATGTACATAAAGTGAATATTTCTATGCACATCCAGATTGATGTTAATCAACTGGTTCGTATTTGTTCAAAAATTATAAAAATAGATTTTTACTAAAATAAAGTGTATGTGTGCTTATATAAGCATACACACACCCATACATACATATATATGTATACTTACACACATATATCACAAATTAAATTTCAAGTTATTAGCTAAAAATAGATTTAAAGTTTATCATTACATGTTCATATCTAACTTCAAAATACTTTGCCTATCACTATTTCAAGTAGTTGAACTTCAGTTTAAGTAACAGCTCGGACTGGGTACTCACCTGCTCAGTAAGTTCTCTGACGTTTGTTAGATTCTTCTGTAGGTGAGTCTGCCAACCTTACTTTAAGCCTGACACCATTCACAATCTTGCCATGTAACGCAGTTATGGCATCACTGGCACTTGCTCTGTCTGCAAATTTTGCGTAGCCCACGTTTTTTCCAGCCACAAGGTAAACTTTTATCAAGTG